GTATTATTATTATTAACATCTTTATTGACAAAATTAATTATAATTTTGCCTAATCTGAGGATTTTGATAGTCTTATTAAATTGAGGTTAATGCTAGTATTCACTGTCACGCAGGACAGAGGGTCATAAGACAATAGGTCTAAACTGTAGGCTGAAGCACATATATATCATGGTTACAATCAATGTTTTAATGTGTGGATATGTGAAAACAACTTTCTATTGTGCACTGCCACACAAGGGCAGGGATGGGTTCATAAGTGATGCAGCTTAGAATATAAGTAGAAATTGTTCTTCATTCTTTAAAATGGACAAGCAAATTTTGGGTAAATTGTTAGGATGTCGTCCAGAACACCTGAGTCAATAAAATAGTTACACAGTTGGTGGTACAATAGGCCAGGAGGTCTAAAGTCCTTTACGGTTTCACATTCATCAATATAGTGTTCTAGTGAATGCATTAAAGGTTTATCACAGAGTTTACAATCTGAATATTCTGGTAGCGGCTCAGCCTCACTAACCTGCCAGATGTGTCTATAGCCAAGGCGAATTCGCGCAATTACTACATCACATTGCCTGGTCCGGTTACTGTGCTGACCATACAAATACCTATTATTACAGAACTTGTCATAACTTTTAATACTGCAGCTTTCAGGTCTCTGTGCATTTCTTAGTTCTTCTAAATCTGAATTAATTTCTTTAATTTGTATGTTTCTAATAACTGCATTAGATAGTCCAAAGTCATAATCAATGTTTTCTTTCCTGCAAGCCTCATTGGCCAATTGATCTACAAAGTCATGTTTTTCAACTCCAACATGGGATGGGATCCACACAAATTTTATACAAGAATTATTATCATTGGCAAAAATTACATTCCATTTAATATTACAAGCTACTTCCGACATACATTGTGATGGGTTATTTAAGGACTGCAGAGCACTTTTAGAGTCACAGAAAATAACTCCACCACCATTGAGCTTAAGGTATTCAGTGGCTAGATAAATACCCAATAGCTCGGTCTGTGTCGTGCTTGCCCAGTTGTTCAATCTCTGTGTACTAGTCATGATCATTTCATTCCCTTTATACACTGCACATGCACAACCTGTTCTACCAGTGCCTAACTGCACAGAGCCATCAGTAAAGGCATAGGATTCAGTCGGTTTGAGAATTTGAAGATGACTGTCAATAGCTTCTAATGTTATACATCTCAAAATGTCAGTGTTATACATTTGTTTTACACTGATGGGAGTATAATGCAGAGAGACCTCCACATCTTTCCAAGGGGGAATATAGTGAACAGTTTTATCAGGGTTAAGAGATACATTCAGTTTCTGAAGATTATAGACACAACAACTGAGCCACACACTGTAGGGAGCTTTTTGCGGCGGATTGAGGGAACAGTCAGAATTGTTTAGAATGGATCTCAATTTAATTTGAATAGAGCTGGGGGGACCATTATTTTTCAAAGTTTTGGCGCAAAACATAGTACTAAGTAGAACTATTCTTTCGTAAATGGAAGGTAAGTTTAGTTCCTTTCTCATGTTAACAATTCTGACAGTTCTAGGACAACCCAGGATGATGCGCATGGCATCATTCTGTACTACATCTAGGCCTTGTAATTGTTTAGGAGAAAAATTAAGAAGATGCAAGGCATAATAATCAACAACAGATCGTATAAAGGCAATATAAAAACTACGAGCATATTTTATGTTAATGCCAAATCCTTTGCCAACAAGAGTTCTGAGAGGTTTAAGACGCTCAACAAGTTTTTTACGCAGGTTGCTGATGAGATTTGTATCATTAACCTCGACTCCAAGATATTTATAAGACTCACAAGTCTCCACGGGCACTCCATTAATAGTATAGTTAGCATGAAGAGAATGGGGAATAAGAACCCTTGTTTTATCAACAGAGATTATGAGGCCACATTCTACTACTTTCTTGGAGAATGCATCAAGTAACATTTGTAGCCTTGGTTTACTGTGTGCCATAATACAAATATCATCAGCATAACATATAACTGTTTCCGTAGGTTGTACAGGTATGTCATGGATAAGTTTGTGCATAAGTATATTGAAGAGCATAGGGCTTAGGACACCGCCTTGAGGTGTGCCTAGTTCGAATGCATCTGTTCTTGTACTTTTAACTCCTTTAAATAGGACACTAGCACGCCTGTTGGATAGGTAGCTCTTTATCCAACTCAGAAGATTACCTTTGATTCCAAATTCAGCAAGTTGCTCTAATATTATTTCGCCATTCGCTACATCGAAAGCTGACTTTAGGTCAATAAAGGCTGCCTGTGTCCCATCCTGGGAGTTTACAAAATATTCAGCAAAGCATGTTTGTGTGCTACACTTGGGCATGAACCCATATAGGTTTGGGGCCAGTTTTTCTTTGACCTGAAACATGACACGATTGAGAACAATTCTCTCCAAGACTTTACACATGCAAGATGTAAGGGAAATGGGTCTGAATTTTTGAGAGTTAGGTTTAGGAATTGGTATTATGAGACTTTGTGTCCATTTCTTTGGCAAGATACCTTGTGAGGACTCATTTGATAGAGGTCAAGCAGAGGGTGGCTAGGGACATCATTCAGTAAGCTCAAGATGTTATAAGTTATACCATCCTCACCAGGGGCAGTTTGCTTAGGTTTTCCTAATGCTGATGTTAATTCAAAGGGGGTTATAGGAAACTGATCCGTTAAATCTGGTGAGGAGCGTGCTATTTCAATATTAAAGTTTCTGTTAATGTTGGTATGTCTTAAATGCTGCTGTATATCTGGGGGTAAGGAAGAAATTTGTGTGTATTTAACTAAAGCTGTCAAAGATGGAGAAAAGATGTACACGTTTGGAACTTGCGTAACTGCTTCGTGAATCTGGATCCAGCCGAGTACAGAAAACTACACCTGGGATCAGTCGAAGCTACAAGGAACACCTGAAGTCTCTCCCGAAATTAATATCAAAGACTAAACAATCGAGATTGAAATAAGAACTTGAAGGCATGATCAGCAGAGAGCTAAGTGAGGACTCGGGACCTCGTCAACAGGTTGAAGACGAGTTCTGGGATCGATGAATTAAACCGGCCACCTTGGCCCAGCTATTAAGGAGGAAATGAGCGCGCGGTACCCGGATAATCACCAGGAGAGAGCTCATTAACAGGCTGTTGTGAGGGCGGGCTACGAGGCCAAGGGGCCTCGTAGCCTGGTGGATAGCGCGCAGGACTCGTAATTCTGTGGCGCGGGTTCGATTCCCGCACGAGGCAGAAACAAATGGGCAAAGTTTCTTTCACCCTGAATGCCCCTGTTACCTAGCAGTAAATAGGTACCTGGGAGTTAGTCAGCTGTCACGGGCTGTTCCTGGGGGTGGAGGCCTGGTCGAGGACCGGGCCGCGGGGACACTAAAAGCCCCGAAATCATCTCAAGATAACCTCAAGATATCTTATGGGCCCGGCCACACACCATCTATCTTGAGCTTATCTTGAGATGATTTCGGGGCTTAGCGTCACTGCGGTCCGGTCCTTGACCAGGCCTCCTTTTTGTTACACACCCCCAGGAAGCAGCCTGTAGCAGCTGACTAACTCCCAGGTACCTATATACTGCTAGGTAACAGGGGCATCAGGGTGAAAGAAACATTTTGCCCATTTGTCTCCACCTCCACCGGGGATCGAACCCGGAACCTCAGGACTACGAATCCGAAGCGCTGTCCACCCAGCTGTCAGGTGGCAGTGGCCCGGACGGCCAGGAACATGACGAGGACGCTCCCGACGGCCAGGAACATGACGAGGACGCTCCCGACGGCCAGGAACATGACGAGGACGCTCCCGACGGCCAGGAACATGACGAGGACGCTCCCGACGGCCAGGAACATGACGAGGACGCTCCCGACGGCCAGGAACATGACGAGGACGCTCCCGACGGCCAGGAACATGACGAGGACGCTCCCGACGGCCAGGAACATGACGAGGACGCTCCCGACGGCCAGGAACATGACGAGGACGCTCCCGACGGCCAGGAACATGACGAGGACGCTCCCGACGGCCAGGAACATGACGAGGAACGGCCAGGAACATGACGAGGACGCTCCCGACGGCCAGGAACATGACGAGGACGCTCCCGACGGCCAGGAACATTGACGAGGACGCTCCCGACGGCCAGGAACATTGACGAGGACGCTCCCGACGGCCAGGAACATTGACGAGGACGCTCCCGACGGCCAGGAACATTGACGAGGACGCTCCCGACGGCCAGGAACATGACGAGGACGCTCCCGACGGCCAGGAACATTGACGAGGACGCTCCCGACGGCCAGGAACATTGACGAGGACGCTCCCGACGGCCAGGAACATTGACGAGGACGCTCCCGACGGCCAGGAACATTGACGAGGACGCTCCCGACGGCCAGGAACATTGACGAGGACGCTCCCGACGGCCAGGAACATTGACGAGGACGCTCCCGACGGCCAGGAACATTGACGAGGACGCTCCCGACGGCCAGGAACATTGACGAGGACGCTCCCGACGGCCAGGAACATTGACGAGGACGCTCCCGACGGCCAGGAACATTGACGAGGACGCTCCCGACGGCCAGGAACATTGACGAGGACGCTCCCGACGGCCAGGAACATTGACGAGGACGCTCCGGACGACCAGGAACATTGACGAGGACGCTCCGGACGGCCAGGAACATTGACGAGGACGCTCCGGACGGCCAGGAACATGACGAGGACGCTCCGGACGGCCAGGAACATGACGAGGACGCTCCGGACGGCCAGGAACATGACGAGGACGCTCCGGACGACCAGGAACATGACGAGGACGCTCCGGACGACCAGGAACATGACGAGGACGCTCCCGACGACCAGGAACATTGACGAGGACGCTCCCGACGGCCAGGAACATGACGAGGACGCTCCGGACGACCAGGAACATGACGAGGACGCTCCGGACGACCAGGAACATTGACGAGGACGCTCCGGACGGCCAGGAACATGACGAGGACGCTCCGGAACATGACGAGGACACTCCGGACGACTAGGAACATTGACGAGGACGCTCCGGACGGCCAGGAACATGACGAGGACGCTCCGGACGACCAGGAACATGACGAGGACGCTCCGGACGACCAGGAACATGACGAGGACACTCCGGACGACCAGGAACATGACGAGGACGCTCCGGACGACCAGGAACATGACGAGGACGCTCCGGACGGCCAGGAACATGACGAGGACACTCCGGACGACCAGGAACATGACGAGGACGCTCCGGACGACCAGGAACATGACGAGGACGCTCCGGACGGCCAGGAACACGACGAGGACGCTCCGGACGACCAGGAACATGACGAGGACGCTCCGGACGACCAGGAACATGACGAGGACGCTCCGGACGGCCAGGAACATGACGAGGACGCTCCGGAACATGAGGACACTCCGGACGGCCAGGAACATGACGAGGACACTCCGGACGACCAGGAACATGACGAGGACGCTCTGGACGACCAGGAACATGACGAGGACGCTCCGGACGACCAGGAACATGACGAGGACGCTCCGGACGACCAGGAACATGACGAGGACGCTCTGGACGACCAGGAACATGACGAGGACGCTCTGGACGACCAGGAACATGACGAGGACGCTCCGGACGACCAGGAACATGACGAGGACGCTCCGGACGACCAGGAACATTGACGAGGACGCTCCGGACGACCAGGAACATGACGAGGACGCTCCGGACGACCAGGAACATGACGAGGACGCTCCGGACGACCAGGAACATGACGAGGACGCTCCGGACGACCAGGAACATGACGAGGACGCTCCGGACGACCAGGAACATGACGAGGACGCTCCGGACGACCAGGAACATTGACGAGGACGCTCCGGACGGCCAGGAACATGAGGACGCTCCGGACGACCAGGAACATGACGAGGACGCTCCGGACGACCAGGAACATGACGAGGACGCTCTGGACGACCAGGAACATGACGAGGACACTCCGGACGACCAGGAACATGACGAGGACACTCCGGACGGTCAGGAACATGACGAGGACGCTCTGGACGACCAGGAACATGACGAGGACACTCCGGACGACCAGGAACATGACGAGGACACTCCGGACGGTCAGGAACATGACGAGGACGCTCTGGACGACCAGGAACATGACGAGGACACTCCGGACGACCAGGAACATGACGAGGACACTCCGGACGGTCAGGAACACTGTCAGAAGAATGATACACCGGCATAAGCCACACTACAGCAGCCAGTCGCAATTATAGTCCAGGAAATTTACGTCGCTCGTGTCCTGTAGCACAGTGGTTGACATTCTCCACTCACAAGTGAAGGACCCGGGTTCAATTCCCGTGTAGGATAGACGGATGGACAAGTTTCCTTTCACCTGATGCGTCTGTTCATCTAGCAGTGACTAGTACCTGCCAGGGAACTGGAACTGTATGGGGTTCTGAGAGTAGTTCTTCTCCCCAAGCCCGGCTATACCTGGAGACAGGTATGAGTGAGGCCAGGCTTGACTTGTGAGAGCTAGGTCCACCAGGCTGTTGCTATGAGTGGCCCGCAGGCCCACATACCCACCACAGCCCGGTTGGTCCGGCACTTCTTGAAGAAAACTATCAAGTTTCCTCTTGAAGATGTCCACGGTTGTTCCGGCAATATTTCTTATGCTCGCTGGGAGGACGTTGAACAACCGCGGACCTCTGATGTTTATACAGTGTTCTCTGATTGTGCCTATGGCACCTCTGCTCTTCACTGGTTCTATTCTGCATTTTCTTCCATATCGTTCACTCCAGTACGGTGTTATTTTACTGTGTAGATTTGGGACCTGACCCTCCAGTATCTTCCACGTGTATATTATTTGGTATCTCTCTCGTCTCCTTTCTAGTGAGTACATTTGGAGAGCTTTGAGACGATCCCAATAATTTAGGTGTTTTATCTCGTCTATGCGTGCCGTATATGTTCTCTGTATTCCCTCTATTTCAGCAATCTCTCCTGCTCTGAAGGGGGAAGTGAGTACTGAGCAGTACTCAAGACGGGACAACACAAGTGACTTGAAGAGTACAACCATTGTGATGGGATCCCTGGATTTGAAAATTCTCGTTGTTGTTTTTATGAAGGGAAGGTCCTAGGGGTAAGGGAGTGGGGGGGGGGGTGGAGAAACCCACAGTAGGCCCTGGTGCAGGCTTCCTGTCCCCCAAGAGCAGGAACTATAACACACTGCAACACTGGTGGCGGAGACTTGCACCCCCCAGAGGTTGAGGAAGTGCAACACTTAGCGTAAGGGAGTGCACCTTGACCAACACCGGCGGCGACCACCACACCAACCCTGGCCAACACCAACACGCACCCACAACAATGTTAGCAAGGAACCTCTTATGATTGTTCTCGATGGAAGTGTGTATTCACTTAGTTGTGTTTGCGGGGGTTGAGCTTTGCTCTTTCGGCCCGCCTCTCAACTGTGGCTGCGTGGCTGTGTCCTCTTGCTGGATGCTGCGTCCTCTTGTTGGATGCTGCGTCCTCTTGCTGGATGCTGCGTCCTCTTGCTGGATGCTGCGTCCTCTTGCTGGATGCTGCGTCCTCTTGCTGGATGCTGCGTCCTCTTGCTGGATGCTGCGTCCTCTTGCTGGATGCTGCGTCCTCTTGCTGGATGCTGCGTCCTCTTGCTGGATGCTGCGTCCTCTTGCTGGATGCTGCGTCCTCTTGCTGGATGCTGCGTCCTCTTGCTGGATGCTGCGTCCTCTTGCTGGATGCTGCGTCCTCTTGTTGGATGCTGCGTCCTCTTGCTGGATGCTGCGTCCTCTTGTTGGATGCTGCGTCCTCTTGCTGGATGCTGCGTCCTCTTGCTGGACGCTGCGTCCTCTTGCTGGACGCTGCGTCCTCTTGCTGGATACTGCGTCCTCTTGCTGGATGCTGCGTCCTCTTGCTGGATACTGCGTCCTCTTGCTGGATACTGCGTCCTCTTGCTGGATACTGCGTCCTCTTGCTGGATGCTGCGTCCTCTTGCTGGACGCTGCGTCCTCTTGCTGGATACTGCGTCCTCTTGCTGGATGCTGCGTCCTCTTGCTGGATGCTGCGTCCTCTTGCTGGATGCTGCGTCCTCTTGCTGGATGCTGCGTCCTCTTGCTGGATGCTGCGTCCTCTTGCTGGATGCTGCGTCCTCTTGCTGGATGCTGCGTCCTCTTGCTGGATGCTGCGTCCTCTTGCTGGATGCTGCGTCCTCTTGCTGGATGCTGCGTCCTCTTGCTGGATGCTGCGTCCTCTTGCTGGATGCTGCGTCCTCTTGCTGGATGCTGCGTCCTCTTGCTGGATGCTGCGTCCTCTTGTTGGATGCTGCGTCCTCTTGCTGGACGCTGCGTCCTCTTGCTGGATGCTGCGTCCTCTTGCTGGATGCTGCGTCTCTACAAGCTTAACCCATCCCCCTCCCCTCTCGTCACACTTACATGGGGAAGGTTGGGGAGGCGTTGTGAGGCAAGGAACCAGAATCCAGTGTAAGGAAGGCTCTGGGGAAGGATCATATACTAGAAAGGATTCAAGAAGCTACCTTCTTCGTCCCACCCAAAACACACACACACACACACACACACACACACACACACACACACACACACACACACACACACACACACACACACACAGAAAATCCCTTTTTTAATTATATCGAGCTGTCAAAAGGTTTTAATACCAAAAGTTGCATCTTGGCAGGTTTGGCCTTGAGGCTTCTAGCCAACCGTCATCTCTGCTTTAATACGTCAACACAAGACTCAGCCAACCCACATTCATCCCCTTGAGACTTACCCCTCCCAGCTGTGGTGAAGGGGGGGGGGTGAGGGGGGATGTGGTGAAGGTGGGGGGAGGGGGGATGTTGTGAAGGTGAGGGGGGGAGGGGGGATGTGGTGAAGGTGAGGGGGGAGGGGGATGTGGTGAAGGTGGTGGGGGGAGGGGGGATGTGGTGAAGGTGGGGGGGGGAGGGGGGATGTGGTGAAGGTGGGGGGAGGGGGGATGTGGTGAAGGTGGGGGGAGGGGGGATGTGGTGAAGATGTCCTTGCTTGATACCTGGTTGATGGGGTTCTGGGAGTTCTACTCCCCAAGCCTGGCCCGAGGCCAGGCTTGATTTGTGAGAGTTTGGTCCACCAGGCTGTTGCTTGAAGCGGCCCGCAGGCCCACATACCCACCACAGCCCGGTTGGTCCGGCACTCCTTGCAGGAATAAATCTAGTTTTCTCTTGAAGATGTCCACGGTTGTTCCGGCAATATTTCTTATGCTCGCTGGGAGGATGTTGAACAACCGCGGACCTCTGATGTTTATACAGTGTTCTCTGATTGTGCCTATGGCACCTCTGCTCTTCACTGGTTCTATTCTGCATTTTCTTCCATATCGTTCACTCCAGTACGTTGTTATTTTACTGTGTAGATTTGGGACCTGGCCCTCCAGTATTTTCCATGTGTATATTATTTGGTATCTCTCTCGTCTCCTTTCTAGTGAATACATTTGTAGAGCTTTCAGACGATCCTAATAATTTAGGTGCTTTATCGCGTCTATGCGTGCCGTATATGTTCTCTGTATTCCCTCTATTTCAGCAATCTCTCCTGCTCTGAAGGGGGAAGTGAGTACTGAGCAGTACTCAAGACGGGACAACACAAGTGACTTGAAGAGTACAACCATTGTGATGGGATCCCTGGATTTGAAAGTTCTCGTAATCCATCCTATCATTTTTCTGGCTGACGCAATATTTGCTTGGTTATGCTCCCTAAACGTTAGGTCGTCAGACATCATTATTCCCAAATACTTGACATGCTATTTTCCTACTATAGGCAGATTTGATTGTTTTGTACCCTGTATTAAGTTTCAGATCCTCATTTTTGCGGTACCTGAGTACCTGGAATTTATCACTGTTAAACATCATGTTATTTTCTGCTGCCCAATCGAAAACTTTGTTAATATCTGCTTGCAGTTTTTCAATGTCTTTAGCAGAGGTAATTTTCATGCTGATTTTTGTGTCATCTGCAAAGGATGACACGAAGCTGTGACTTGTATTTTTATCTATATCTGATATGAGAATAAGGAACAGCAGCGGTGCAAGGACTGTACCTTGAGGTACTGAGCTTTTAACTGCGCTTAGACTATTTTATTTGATTGACTGTTACTCTTTGTGTTCTGTTCGACAGGAAATTGAGTATCCAGCGTCCTACTTTACCAGTTATTTCCATTGACCTCATTTTGTGTGCTGTCACTCCATGGTCACATGTGTCGAACGCCTTTGCAAAGTCTGTGTATACAACATCTACATTTTTCTTTTCTTCTAGAGCTTCTGTGATTTTGTCATGGTGGTAGAGTAACTGCGACAGACAGGATCTTCTCGCTCTAAATCCATGTTGTCCAGGCTTGTGTAGCTCATTATTTTCCACAAACCTAGAAATTTGATTCCTAATCACTCTTTCAAAACCTTTTATTATGTGTGATGTTAGTGCAACTGGTCTATAATTTTTTGCCAAGGCTTTACTCCCCCCCCTTGTGCAGAGGAGCTATATCTGCAGATTTACAGAAACAGATTTACAGATTTATGTCAGTCTACGAAACCCGAATGCCTCTATAGCCATCGCAGTCAGTCAGGTTTATCTGTTAACTCGAGCAGCAACTTGACCAGTTCCTTGAAAGTTTCCACTGTTGTTCCAGCGACATTTGTTGTGTTTGTGGGCAGGAGTGTGAAGAGTCGAGCCTCATGTTCATAAAATCAGCAGACTTCTAGATGTTACTACAGCTCGGCTTAGACTGTTACAAGTATCTCTGGGAATTCTCATTATCTGCCGATGTAGACCTGACCAAATGTAAACTGTGTCAACAAAATTATTTGCACACCCTCCGTCACTATGTGATGGAGTGCGAAAAGATACGTGAATTCAGAGATAATTCTATAACCAATGCTCAAGAGATGTGTAAATATTTCATTGAAAATTATCTACTACCAGAAATCTTAGCCAAATATCCCCAGTTTGCTAACTGTAGGTAGTAACTAAGTGACTGTAACCTATCCACCGCTGCCCACTGGATGGAGGGCGGTGTGCAGGACAAACATATCAATTGTGACACTAGCTCTCCACATAAGTTAGTTGCTTAATTTAGAAACTGTACTTGTGGTCGATCTCGAACCCATTGTTAATGTGACGATGTGCATTGAATTTTGTAACTAGCTCATCAAGATTGTAACTTGCTTAGCTAAATTGTGGGGTTCAGTCCCTGAGCCCATTATGTGCCTCTGTAACCCTTTCCACTACCGCCCACAAGATGGGTATGGGGGGCATAATAAATGAACTAAACTAACCTGTAGCTGTGCTTATGTCGCACACAAATCAATATAGGGTTGTACACACTTGGAGGAACCCTCTCGATGGCGCTCTCCACCACCGCCCATCACCACCACCACCAAGTGCTCCACCACCGCCCAACCATCACCACCACCAAGTGCTCCACAACTCTAGGACCTTCTCCCTCCATCTCTTCTTTCCTTATCTTAATGGCACCTCACGCCAATGGCTCCCCCCCCCCCACCGGTCACCTGACTCCCCTCATCAAAGCCCCTAAGACACACCTTATTAATTAAAAAATATGAAGATGGATAGAATCTAGGCAAGTCATGCGAGGCAGTGACACTCTCCCTCTCCCTCTCCCCCTCTCCCTCTCTCTCCCTCCCTCTCTCTCTCCCCCGTCCCCCCTCTCTCTCTCTCTCTCTCTCCCCCTCTCTCTCTCCCCTCTCTCTCTCCCCCCTCTCTCTCTCCCCTCTCTCTCTCCCCCCCTCTCTCTCTCCCCTCTCTCTCTCTCTCTCTCTCTCCCCCCTCTCTCTCTCCCCTCTCTCTCTCCCCTCTCTCTCTCCCCTCTCTCTCTCTCTCCCTCTCTCTCTCCCCTCTCTCTCTCTCTCTCTCTCTCTCTGCCCATCTCTCTCTCTGCCCATCTCTCTCTCTGCCCATCTCTCTCTCTGCCCATCTCTCTCTCTGCCCATCTCTCTCTCTGCCCATCTCTCTCTCTCCCTCCCTCCCTCTCCCTGTCCCTCTCTCACTTACAACGCTAAAAAAACAAAGAGGCAATTTCTCTCACTGTGTGTAACACAATAGAGAGCTCTCTCCCCCTTGGCAAAATACCAGAGACTAGTGTGAGGACTCGCCACACCTCAGGTAACGAGTCTTCAGGTGATCCAATAAGCGGAACAAAAATCATTGCTGCCGCTCGCGTGCACCTCCACGTGTCCTGCCGCAGCCTCCTCCTCAGCACCCAACTGCGGGAATTGCGCCATAGTGGAAGACAACACGACATAACCTTTGATACGTTCACACAAAGGAAGGTTGAGACTGCTTGAGGCAACCTGCAAGTGACCTCGTGCTGCTGCCGCCTCTCTGACTAGTCAAGAAGATGTAGAAGTAGAAGTAGAAGAACTAGAAGTAGTACTAGTAGTAGTAGAAGTAGTACTAGTAGTAGTAGAAGTAGTACTAGTAGTAGTAGTAGTAGAAGTAGTAGTAGTAGTATAATAATAATAATAATAGTAGTAGTAGTAATTGTAGTTCTCCGCTACTAGGTTCTACTATCTCTTCTCTCCGCCGAAAGAGAATACTGAGCAGAACTGAAGGCAAGATAATTATAAGGAGAAAGCGGTAGGCCAGTACCGGCATTGTACCTGGTTGATGGGGTTCTGGGAGTTCTTCTACTCCCTCCTAAGCCCGGCCCGAGGCCAGGCTTGACTTGTGATAACTTGGGCCAACAGGCCATTGCTTGGAGCGGCCCGCAGGCCCACATAACCACTACAACTACACACCACTTGGGATACGAAGACAATCATCTGAGATATGAGGGAGGGAAGACCTCGTTCCCAGCCACTTGTAGCGTCGCGAATTGTGTCACCACGAAGGCTCTCCTGATGGGCAGCCCAACATGACTCTAGCTGCCCAGCTGGTAAACATGATCCGAGCGCTGTCGGATCTTGGGTAAATAGTCTCACGACTACCATGATTTTTGTACAGTCGGGTGGTCTAGTGGTTAAGGTATCAGGTACGCTAAGGTGCATAGTGCTCCTGGCTATCTGGGTTTGAATCCTTCTGGGGTGTTGAGTTTTCAGTTGCATATTGGCTTGGGGACCATTCAAGCTTGTTCGTGTGTACTCGCCTAGTTGTGTTTGCGGGGGTTGAGCTCTGGCTCTTTGGTCCCGCCTCTCAACTGTCAATCAACTGGTGTACAGGTTCCTGAGCCTACTGGGCTCTATCATATCTATACTTGAAACTGTGTATGGAGTCAGCCTCCACCACATCACTGCCTAATGCATTCCGTTTATGCGTGGGTATCCATTTGTGCGTGCGCGTGCGTGCGTGCGCGTGCGTGTGTGCGTGTGTGTGTGTGTGTGTGTGTGTGTGTGTGTGTGTGTGTGTGTGTGTGTGTACCTCAATAACCATATATCACTTACAAAGACACACTCACGTGCACAACTAGCGAGAGAGACGTCACCGTGCACAACAGTTCCCGCTCCTCCTGGCCGACCTAACACTCACCTGCAAGAGAAAACAGAAATCAATGATATTACACGATACAATTTTAGTCGTTTCATAAACAATTTTAGTTGTTACATTTCTCTGACCTCAATGAGGTGGTCAGAGGCGGATAAGGACACCAGTGTGGGCGTGTCCCAGCCAACACGGACACCAGTGTGGGCGTGTCCCAGCCAACACGGACACCAGTGTGGGCGTGTCCCAGCCAACACGGACACCAGTGTGGGCGTGTCCCAGCCAACACGGACACCAGTGTGGGCGTGTCCCAGCCAACACGGACACCAGTGTGGGCGTGTCCAGGCGTTGAGAAAGGCGGACCAGAAGACGTGTGGACAATCTCGGGTGTTTCCCACGGTCACGGACACCAGAGACGGTCACCACAACGACTGAGGCAATGAACCGTATTAAAGATCTGTGAACCCCACTGTTGAACCTCCAGCAGACGATGGCACACACACACACACACACACACACACACTCACACACACACACACACACACACTCACACACTCACACACTCACACACTCACACACTCACACACTCACACACTCACACACTCACACACTCCTAGGCACTGCCACTGTATTACAGTAACTGTATAGTTACAAATGAAGATGTTCACATGAGACAGTTAAGCAAGTCCCAGCTGTGTCTGGGTACAAGTGACAGGATGAACAACCCAGCGGGTTTTCTTCCTATTGGGGAGTGTTGTACATGCTGCTATGGCAGTGTGTCCACTCACAGGATGAGTGGCGCTGCCCAATACTGTCACTATGGCGGTGTGTCCACTCACAGGATGAGTGGCGCTGCCCAATACTGTCACTATGGCGGTGTGTCCACTCACAGGATGAGTGGCGCTGCCCAATACTGTCACTATGGCGGTGTGTCCACTCACAGGATGAGTGGCGCTGCCCAATACTGTCACTATGGTGGTGTGTCCACTCACAGGATGAGTGGCGCTGCCCAATACTGTCACTATGGCGGTGTGTCCACTCACAGGATGAGTGGCGCTGCCCAATACTGTCACTATGGCGGTGTGTCCACTCACAGGATGAGTGGCGCTGCCCAATACTGTCACTATGGTGGTGTGTCCACTCACAGGATGAGTGGCGCTGCCCAATACTGTCACTATGGCGGTGTGTCCACTCACAGGATGAGTGACGCTGCCCAATACTGTCACTATGGCGGTGTGTCCACTCACAGGATGAGTGACGCTGCCCAATACTGTCACTATGGCGGTGTGTCCACTCACAGGATGAGTGACGCTGCCCAATAAACTCGCCCATCGTGGCAAAATTTTAAACGAGGCTGGTGTCTTTTAGTTAGGGAGGGAGAGACTTAGGTCACTCCGTTCAAGTCCTGCAAATGATTTAAAAACATAACCGCTTAATGTAGCCAAGCTTAACAAAACACAGCCCTGCCTAATCCAGCCCTGCTTAAAACCGTAACCCGCCCCGCCCAGGGTCCGCCCAGGGCTCTGGCCACCCCGCCCACGCGGACCCAGGGTCCTAGCCACCCCGCCCACACAGACCCAGGGCCCTAGCCACCCCGCCCACGCAGACCCAGGGTGACGGAGGGCGGTGGATCACAACTCCTCTCACCCCGCCTGCTTGTCGCCGCCCCAGATTTTACAGACGTCCAGAAACCTCTCCTCCCCCCCCCCCATTATCCCCTCCCTCCCTCCCTCCCTCCTTCCAACCCATTCCCCTGTTTAGATATAGTAGTTTTTTTTTAACTATGTTCACCATATTACAAAGATTGTCATTCTAAGCAATTAGTGGAACTTTGTACTATTTACTTTATAAAATCGGAAAAAAATTAAGCAAAACTTAAATATTCCTAGGCCTAGCAGCACACACGTACAATATTAGGCCTCAGGTACAAGTGACAGGATGAACAACCCAACGGGTTTTCTTCCTATTGGGGAATGTTGTACACGCTGCTATGGCGGTGTGTCCACTCACAAGATGAGTGTATTAGGCCTAGGAAGGCGAGGTTTGGTTAATTTTGTCTTTGCAACATATGTAGAAAATAGCTTTCCGGTTTGTGCAACTCAATAGTTCAGATTTCTACTTTCCAATTTCGTTATTAGTCGGTATATATACTATTATACTATAGACCTCATCGTTACTATAAGTGCCGCCAAACAGGAGGATGGGCAGCACCCTCAACTTTTATTGACCACAGGAGTATGTCGGGATCATGTCCCCTCCACAATGACAGCACCTAATACCTGGTTGATGGGGTTCTGGGAGTAGTTCTACTCCCCAAGCCCGGCCCGAGGCTAGGCTTGACTTGTGAGAGTGTGGTTCCACCAGGCTGTTGGTGTAACCTATAACCAATTTTGTATCAACAGGTATTTGTATGGTCAGCACAGTAACCAGGCCAAACAATGTGATGTAGTCATTGCACAAATTCGCCTTGGCTACAGGCACATCTGGCAGGTTAGTGAGGCTGAGCCACTACCAGAATATTCAGCTCACAAACCCTGTGACAAGTCTTTAAGGCATTCACCTCAACACAATATTGTCGATTGTGAAACCGAATTTTTTTTTAGACCTCCTGACCTATTGTGCCACAAACTGTGTAACTATTTCATTGAATCTGGTGTACTGGACGACATCTTAACAGTCTATCCTAAATTTCTTGGTCATTTTAAAGAATTAATTAAAATTACATTCATTTTATTTATAAACTGCATCTCCTATGAACCCATCCCTGCCCTTGTGTGGCAGTGCACAACAGAAAGTGGGATTTACAAATACGTACAGAAACTTGTATACTGTATAGTGTAGTTGATTGTAACCATGATGTATATATATGTATTTCAGCCTACAGTTTAGACCTATTGTCTCGTGTATGACCCTCTGTCCTGCGTGACAGTGAATACCAGCATTATCCTCACTTTAATAAGACCTATTTGAATTTCTCAGATTAATTGAATTATTTACAAAATTGTAATTTAGTCAATAAAGATGACAAAATAAATACATACATACATACATATAGCCAGTACTGAGTGAGTGTACTAAACACCGACTCTAACAATAAAGAAGATCAACACTCAGAACTATTCAATGAACAAATCCACAAGGGCCGTGACGAGGGTTCGAACGTACGTCCAAGAGGATCCCAGATGCTGCCTTAATCGACTGAGCAACGACATGGTAAAAAGAATTGCAACTATTAATTTTGTACAGGGCGAGAAACATGGCCACAACCACACCTAACCTTTCTGCTAGGCCTAGAATAGTACACATGTACTAAACTAGGCCTAATATTGAAAATATTATATATTTTCAATATTGAAAATATTAGCCCCCTAGAATTATTTATTTAATCCTAGGAAAGGTTATATTGGACATATTGGAGTATGTGGGCCTGCGGGCCGCTCCAAGCAACAGCCTGGTGGACCAAACTCTCACAAGTCAAGCCTGGCCTCGGGCCGGGCTTGGGGAGTAGAACAACTCCCAGAACCCCATCAACCAGGTATATTCTATTGTAACTTTCTGCTCCGTAATACTGCCATTAAACGATATAACTTACTTTTGAGTGTTACACTTAATACTTTTTACATTTCATTTTTTAACAACTTTTTACACACTAAATTTTTGGAGTACGAGTTAAAGACAGGAAAGTGTGCGAGGCGCGCTGGCAACTGCCCAATTACTGGTTTCCGTTAATTGCCCGTCAGACAAGATGGGGACCAAAATCATGCTCAGAGAGCGGCGGCGGCGGCAGCATTCAATCCCATTTTAATGAACAGTATTTTCTTATCTTTAAGGAAATAACGTGTTTAAGAACACGCTGACATTTTTGGTTAGTGACGTCCGCAGTCTCCCAGAGTTTAATATATATATATATATATATATGTATATATATATATATATATATATATATATATATATATATATATATATATATATATATATATATATATATTAGTATATTTTGGTAGCAGTCTTTCCTGTAGACATATATTATTAAATATGACCGAAAAAGTAAGATTAATAATTCTAACACGAATTTTCTCAATCTTTCGTACATTACGCTTCACTGTTGGAGGTAAATCAAAAATCACTTCTCCAAAATTCATTTTTATTTCTAGTCTGACGCGACACGGGCGCGTTTCGTAAAACTTATTACATTTTCAAAGACTTCACAAATACACAACTGATTAGAACGTATACGTTCTAATCAGTTGTGTATTTGTGAAGTCTTTGAAAATGTAATAAGTTTTACGAAACGCGCCCGTGTCGCGTCAGACTAGAAATAAAAATGAATTTTGGAGAAGTGATTTTTGATTTACCTCCAACAGTGAAGCGTAATGTACGAAAGATTGAGAAAATTCGTGTTAGAATTATTAATCTTACTTTTTCGGTCATATTTAATAATATATATATATACATATATACTCCCAGAAGCAACGCAACTGGTAACTACACTTGTTCGCATATTATAATCTTATATATATATATATATATATATATATATATATATATATATATATATGTGTATTTTTTTTTAGGGTGGAGCCCTAGATACGTTGAGTATTCGTAGTTTGTTCGGGGTAGTGGAGTTTCTTCCACTGAAGGTCCCCAACTGTTCCTTTACTCCTTGGTCAGTAACTCCTTCCATCCGAGGCAGTGTTCCGTCTGGAGAAACACAAGCATCTGGCGAATAATCCAACCTTTAAGGGAAGGGGCCAATGATGAATGTCTCTTACATAATACATCCGGCAGCTCGTGTATAGCACAATAGTGCTCGTGTCCGCACGGGTACAATGTATAGGTGAATAGAATGGTTCCTATTACTCTGCCTAGTACCGCTGGCTGGTTCAGGAAGACCAGATTCTCAGCACCTGTTCTCTGGTGGGTGTTCCGGCTACTCCATTTGCCGGGGCAATCCCGTGTGTCTCAGTTAATCTATTTCATCACCGCCTGCACCAGTCCGTCTCACTCTCCTTACCATCCTCTATCCATCTCAGTCTCACCGAGTCTCT